ATTCGTGACTTGTCAGGGGTGCCTGTCACGTTTATCCAAAGTTGTGGTGTCGTGACACACGGATACGTCGACAACCGGCCGGTGCCTGCTCAAACCGCGAAGGAGGCTGTCTTGCACACATCGCCAACCTGTATGAGCGATGTACGCTAAGCCTCCGCCCGGCTTTAGTAGTAATGGTATGGGGAGGATGGGCGGCAATGAATATTCGCGGTTACCTCTTCTGTCTCCTTTCAATGCACAAAGAGTGCTGGCCAGTATCCGACGAACAGTGACTCAACAATGTGTCTCATGCAGACTGGCAACGAACCCTAACACCGGCATGCGCCAGTCACGCACGGCATCTGAGACCCCCGGTGCGGAGGCACAACGGACCAACAGTGAGGCGGCATCGGCGGCGGGGGCGAAGCGGCAGTGTGGGGCAGCGGTGAGTGCTGGACGATCTGCATCGAGGTGCGGGGGTGAGCAGCCAGTCGGTCAAAATCGTGTCAGCCTTTACATTCACATCTGTGTGGTTCTGTGGCTCTCCAGTGACGACTGCAACATAACATGACGACCGCCGCCGGTGCCCAAGACGCGGCCTGGGCCGTAGCGATCCACCGCCCGCTCACGCGCCGAGGCCACGGCCCCGGACTCATCATCTTGACGGAGGAAGGCCATGGGGTTCCGAAGGACGGTGTGCTTGACCCCCCGCCCGCGCAGAAATGGGCCGAAGAGGGATATGCGATTGCCGCTGTCACGATCGGTGCAGACGCGGAGACTGTAGATCTGAAACAGGTTCTGCAAAATGCGGCTGACGAGCTCGACGAGCTCGACGTCTGTGATCAGAAAGGCCGCTGTGGTCTTATCAGTGAGCTCCTTTGAGCCCCCTCTACCCGGTGTGACAGCTCTGCAGTGCGTGCTGACATGTTCTCGCAGTCTATGCCGCTGCCTCAAGCCCGGTCCTGGCAAACCTCGCCAAGGAAGGTCCCATCGCGAGCATCGAAGCCGTGGTGTTCTTCGGGGCCGGCGCCGCCTACGGCCACGGTCCTGCGCTGGCGCACGTGGCTGGTCCGGGTGCCGGCCAGACGGCGAGCCTGGCAAACGGTGGGAAGCACTACCTGTACCCTTCGGCGAGGCCCTTTTTCGGGGTTCCCGCCCACGCTGATTATCACGCGGCCTCGGCTTCCCTCGCCCACACGCGAACGCTGTCCTTCCTCAAGCCCCTTTTCGGGGGGCCTTACTTCGACATTGAAGCTGTATGGGAGGAGCACACGCAATTTGAATTCGGCGAACGAAGCGTCGAAAAGACCATGGCTACCATGGTCGAACAGCCCTACGTAAGTCTGGCATGGAGCCTTTCACGTTCGACGCAGAGGACCGCCGAAAGGAAGCCAAGGAAGCTAACGCCAAGGGCGGTAACAGGTCAACCACGTCCCGACGCTGACAGGAGGCGTCGGTCGTGAGCGTCTCACAGACTTCTACCGCCATCACTTCATTTTCAGCAACCCGGAGGACACGGAGCTCGAGCTCGTCAGCCGAACGGTGGGCATTGACAGGGTGATTGACGAGTTTGTCTTCAAATGCACCCATGATAGGGTGATTGACTGGCTGTACGTTTTCTTCTCTTGTTTCTCTCTTTTTCTCTCTTTTTTTTTCTTTTTTTTTCTTGGCGTCGAACCCATATATTTCCTCTCCTGTTTCCTGGAGGTAAGAGGCTGACACTTGACAGGCTCCCCGGGGTGCCCCCGACGGGCAAGGCGCTGACGATACCGTTCACCAGCGTCGTCAACGTGCGGGGCGACCGGCTTCACCACGAGCACATTGCGTGGGACCAGGCGACGGCATTGCGGCAGCTGGGACTGCTGCCAGAGTACCTGCCATTCCCATATGCCATTGATGGCCAGACACCGGCAGAGGGTCGGCGGTTCGAGTACCGGGTGCCGGTAGCAGGGACAGAGACGGCGGCGAAGCTGGCGGACGAAGGGGCTGTCGAGTCCAACGCCATGTTTGCATACACCACGAGGGAGGTGTGACGGAAGGCTCGTCGAGGAAGGGCCTAGATCGGACATTTGAAATTTCCATAGCTCCAATTTCTCATCAGCAAAGGCTAATCAGCGAAGGCATTCTCGGGCATGGCGACGAGGACGGAGAATCGCGACAGCCCATGTTGGATTCTCCGAGCTGTCAGTGCGGGGTGGTGTGAAGGTCTGACCTGTGGCTGTGGGGGCCGAGATCGATGCCCGCGGGGACTGCACACCAATTATCCTGGGAGCACGGGTGAACATCGGCTCGGCCAAACCAATGGGCAACGTCTCGAGGCGGCGACGTGGGCAGAGGCCACGGCTAAACCGCGCCTGACGCGCAGGAACCCCGGATAGGGAGAAACCTCGGAGTCACTAACGGGCCGCTAGGGGATGAACTGGCTCCACTCGGCACCACTCGGTACCCCTCGATCAAGGATCCAACAGCCAAGTTTACGTCGTTTCGGGGATCCCTCATGCCGCCATCGACGCATGGAAGACGCCCATTCAAGACGTCGGTTCGCTGTCCCGATCCGAGTCTCCGGGGAGAGTCTAGAGGTTTGATCCATTTTGGTCTCCAGGTCAAACATGAATCGACATCTCGTCATGGCGCCGCGCCCAGGTACAAAAGGACGTGCCTCGATCCTCGGTTGAACATGTTGGCCTTTGCCTCTACTTTCTCTTCCCATCATCC